CTGGCTCTGGTTCTACCTGGCTCTGGTTCTACCTGGCTCTGGTTTTACCTGGTCTTCTTCCTGAATGTCAGGCTCAGAGGCTGTGGTCTCTGTGGGAGGGGACGGGTATTCGGGCTGTGGAGGATCAGAGGTGAGGTTGGGGGTGGGTGTAGGTGGGTCAGGCGTCACAGAGGGAGGGTCAGGGGTCAGTGTCTCAGGGGCCTGTTCACTGGAAGGTGAGGAATGCTGACTCAGGACCAGCTCCACCAGCTCCTCCTGCCAAACAGGAAACAGGTGTGACTGTGTGTGTGTGTGTGTGTGTGACTGTGTGTGTGACTGTGTGTGTGTGTGTGTGTGTGTGTGACTGTGTGTGTGTGTGTGTGTGTGTGTGACTGTGTGTGTGTGTGTGTGTGTGTGTGTGTGTGTGTGTGTGTGTGTTCTCACCTTCTCTCTGCACAGGTGTGTTGACACCTCATGCAGATGCAGATAATCTCTGAGCTCCTTCACTTTGAGCTTCATAAGCTCCGCCCGCTCCAACAGGTTGCCATAGAAACGCTGACAGGTGTGACAGAGGCGGGGCCGTGGCTCAAGCTGGGCGGAGCAACGGCTGCAGTAGTTCTTCTTACAGTCCACACACACATGCTGAGAGAGAGAGAGAGGTAGAGAGAGGCAGGTAGAGAGATAGAGAGCGAAAGAGAGGTAGAGAGAGAGAGAGAGAGAGAGAGAGAGAGAGGTGAAGACAGGTAGCCAGAGGGAGGGTAGAGAGAGAGAGAGTGAAAGAAAGGTAGAGAGAGAGAGAGAAAGAGATAGAGAGAGAGAGAGAGGTAGAGAGGTGAAATGATATATATTGTGTTGTTTGTCAGTTTGTCCTGGTGGTCACTCTCAGTACTGCAGTTAAAAGACTCACTAACTTTTAGCTCCTCCCTCGTTAGCTGATTTCATCCTCACAATAAAGAACAGGACATGTCTTCCTCAAGCTGGGCTGCTCTACCAGAGGTGTATCTATATATATCTATATACATATATCTATAGATCAGGTGGGCAGAGTTACCTTCTTGGCAGGTGTGTCAAAGCGCCCCCCGCAGGCCTTACAGATGTGTTCAGGTGGAGGAGGAGACGGCTGAGAGTTGAAGGCGGAGTTGGTGTAGGACTGATGGCGACGTTCATCTTCACCCGACTGTTCTGCTGGGTCACCTGAGTCCATACACAGCCAATTACAGCAGGACGCCCACATACCTGACCAATCACAGACAGACACATGAGGAACATCCAACACTAAGATTCATGTAGCTCATGAAGTTAAACTAGTTCAGATGACACCTGAACGCCTCCTGCTGGATTCAATTTAAATGTAATAAAAAGAACTATTTTTTAGATTAGATGAACTTTATCGATCCCACCTGGGGACATTGTTGTGTCACAGCAGCAGGACTTACAGAGTAAGAACACACAGAGACATTTGTTTGACATGTCTCAAATAATAAATATGACTACATGTAAAATGAGTATGAATATAATATGAGCCAGCCTTCTGAATCAGCTGGTTCAGTCTGTTGGTGTCACCGGCTCCGAGGCTGCTCCTCCAGCAGACCACAGCAAAGTACAGAACACCGGCTGCAACACTGACTGAAGATCTCCAACATCTGGCTGCACACGTTGAAACATCTGAGCTTCCTCAGGGAATAGTCTGCTCATTCTCTCTTAAAGACAACATCGATGTTTTCCACTTCAGGCCGTTGTGGATGTGGACGCCCAGGTAGCTGTCAGTGAGTGTTGGACACAGTGTCCACTCACAGAACTGTCTTCAGGACTCATGAGACTGAAGACAGCTCAGTGAGTGTTGGACACAGTGTCCACTCACTGAACTGTCTTCAGGACTCATGAGACTGA